GAGGGTTTGGGTTTCTCTTCAGAGAGCAGCAATGTTTGCTACATTAGGGATACTTCCCTGGCTGCATGCATCTGAGAAAATACAAGGCAGAAAATACAAGGGAGGGAGCAAACTGAGAGCTGTTTATATCCATGTCATAACTAGCACTGCAGAGCTTTGCCAACTGTTGTAGCGCTGAGGATGGAAAAAAGGGCGGGCACTTGCAGCCTCTTGCTTATGAACTGGATGAAGTTTGCAGGAGTGAAATGTGCTGACTGCTTTGCTACTGGTTAATGCATCTGTCATGCAATGAGGGGAAAGCTTGAGCTTTGCCAAAATCCTCCCTTGGCTGCAGCTCCAGGAGCAGAGCTCACCGGTGCCCATCTGCTATTTGATGCTTTTCTCTGCCCACAAAGCTGCTCTGTGCAATACTTCTCACTAACTTGCATTGGTTTTGCTTCCTTTTTCAGCACGGTGGAAGAACTCTGGAGTCTTCATCATGAAATTGAGGTAAAGCATAGGTATCCCAACCTTTCAGCTTGCCTGGGCCACATTGAGTGAAAAGGATTTGTCTTGAGCCACATACAAAGTATATAATAGAGTTAAGCTATAGAACTAACTAACTTTTTAAATATTATTTTTAATTAAAATATAAAAAAGAGCAGCAAAAATGTAAAATTAGTGGGATATTTGACTTAATTTTTGTGAAGCTAGTGCATCAGGCTGGTTCACTGGAAGTGGCTGCAGTTCTTAGTGAGCTCTCAAGGTTTTCATCAGAGATTTTTGATGAAGTACAAGAAGGGTAAGAATTCAAATATTCAGTCAAATATGATGATTTTTTTTTTGAAGTCTTGAAACCTCATATAGAAAAATATGCTCACATTTTTTGCTGTTCACAGGGTTGGGTTTAGTCAGTGTAACAAAATGCATGTGATTATTTGCAGTAACTTGAGCTGGCCATAATTTAAGTTTCATATTGAACTCGGTTTTGAAACATAGCACAGACAAGTTGATTTTCACCAGGAAGACAGGTGTGTAACTCATTTAAATTAGCAGTGACATCCCCCAGAAATGCTAACTCTGTGAGCCATTTTCATCTTCGTACTCTGGCACAGATTTTTCCTTTGACTCCATGAAGAATTTGATTTCATTTCACAAACCATAAAATCTGTTCAGCATTTTACCCCAGCTTAGCCACCTTCCTTCAGAAAAGTGAATTATGTCCACAATAAAAACATACCATCCATACCTTTCAGGAACAACTGGACTAGCAATGAGCCAGTCCCTTGGACTTGATGAAGTTACAGCTTTGATGACAATCTGCATGACATTATCCATCTTCAAAGCTTTTGCACATAGATTTTCTTGATGTATGATGCAATGATATTTCATCACAAGTGAGTTGCTGGCAGCAATTGCATCATCTCTTATTTTATGTCTCTTTTTTACCAACCATTGCTTATCGGTAGCTATGCCAGATCTGTTGACAAAGGTTAAAGAAAATTGCTTTAATGTATTTTTTTTCTGCCTCATCCAATTCAAGAGATTCATTGTGTCTTCTACAGGCACCAAGGAAGCCATTTCCTCAGTGACATTATATTCATTACCAGCAACTCCTATAAAAATGGCACATCAAGCCATACCTGTAGCATCAGTACTTTCATCTGTCACCAAAGCTTAAAATTTGACATTAGCAGCTTTATTTCCCAAATTTCTTTCAATGGACTTTCTATTTTTTTCAGTTCTCTCATCCACAGTTTTTCTTTTTTTAGGTTCTGTTTTCTTTTGAGATACCATGAGATGGGTTGAAATATTAGTACTGGTAATCACTGTTATACTCTCCAAGTGGTACAAGGGCACGTAACATGTAGCACACACAGGTTTCAGTGTGACTGTGTGTGATGGTGTGACAGGTGAGGTTAGCACTGCACTACACCCTTCCCTTCTCCTGGTTTCAGCTGAGGCAGCATTAATAGCACATTGCTCTTTGGTTGTTGCTATGTGATGGGTATGCTGGGCCTGGCTTCTCAGTAGAGAAGAGCTGCCATGGCTCCCCAAAAGCCACTGGATTTTAGGATTTGGACTGATGTGGTTCACCCCACAGCTGATGGAGCCCAGCGGGGCTTCAACCATAGGACAGTGCATCCATCCCACTGACCACCGGTGTGTTTGCCCCTCAGGAGTCTTGCCACCAGTTCATTGCCCAGTGGAAGAAGCTGAATCTGGACGTGATGCTTTGTCCCATGCTGGGCCCAGCTCTCCTTATTGGCTACCCAGCAAAGCTTTCAGGTAGGACTGCCTGGTTGACCTCAAGCCATAGCCTCCCTGCCAGTGTAAATGGGAAGCATTTTTCCTCCTTCCCCTGCTTTCTGAGGCACTGGGCAGCAGTGGGAAGAACTCAGCTCTTGGGCAGCTTGGCTTCTGGACAACCACCCTGGTGTGTGCAGGAACCAAGGGGCAGGCTTCCATCCTGCAGCCACTGAGTTCGCAGCACAGATGCCTATTAGTTGGAAGTGGTGTTGGGCATTCACGTGTGCTGTGATCAAACACAGAGGGGGGTGAAGGTTCTTCCTGTTGCTGTGAGCTCCCTTTTTCCCCCAGTGGCAGTCAGCTACACCATGCTGTACAACTCCTTGGACTTCCCTGTTGGTGTTGTCCCCGTCACGTTGGCGACAGATGAGGATGAGAAGGAGCTGAAGAACTACCAAGGCTATTTCCGAGACTGGTGGGACCGGGGCCTGGCAACGGTGAGTTGTGCCAGGTCCCCTGGGGGGTACAGTGTCCCCATCTCATCTCTGCCATATCCCCTACCCTCTCCCTTTTCTTTTTGCCATAGGCTTTTAGCAGTGCCGAGGGGATGCCGGTGGCTGTGCAGTGTGTGGCCTTGCCGTGGCAGGAGGAGCTGTGCCTCCGGTTCATGAAGGAAGTGGAGACACTTGTCATGAAGAAAAACATGATTGTCTGAGTCCTCACCCAGAGCGGGATTTGAGCTCAGAGCGGTGCAAGCTGCCCTCGCATCTCACCTGCCTGCAGGACTGGCATTCCCATCCATGATTGGGTGGATTGTGGAAAAGTGAGATGAGGTCAAATGTTTACACCAATTTACCCAATACAGTGATTTTTGTTAGTGGAAAGTCTGTTTCAGGTGTGTTTTTGTGGGGAGGTTTGGTGGTGGGTTTTTTTTGTTTTTGTTTTTTTTTGTTTTTTGGACATGTTATCTAAGACACTCAGATTCCTGCTTTCAGTGCCATAGGAAGGGTTTGTGCCTCCAGTTCTCAGCTCCACAGAAGTTGCATTATGAGGGAGGAAGGTTTTTCCTGTCACGCACCGGCAATCAAAGGTCAAAACTAAACCTCTGATAAGCAGGGAGGGAGCTGGACCACTTCCCGGATGGTAGAGCTGCTTACACCACACTGGCATGGGTGAGCATAAAGGGGAAAAACTGGTTAGCAACCCCCCATCCCTTAGGTACGCCTGCCTTCCCCAGAGCAGAGGTATAAACAGTACAGCTCGCTGTCTTGCACAAACCCAGCAGCACGCCAGTGTCAGAGCCCTGCTCTGCTGCACATTCGTGCCTTCCATTTGCAGAGGGAGCCAGGCCAGGTTTTCAGCGAGGTCTCATGGCTGCTGGCAGACACCCACACCGCGATTGGCAGCGGCGGCTGCTCCCAAAAGGCATCTGTGGGTGTCTGAGAAAGGAACTCCGCAATGCGTTTTGCTGATGCAACTGCTCACAGATAAATCGAAACAAAGCTTTGATGGGAAAAGGTATGGGTGCTTTGGTTTTAAAGGCATTGTTATTGTTTAAACCAGAGTCATAGAAATGATAGGTTTTCGTCAGGAGCTGGGCAGAGGGTTTAGCCCAGCCTGTCAAATAGCAGCCCCAGAGCTCTAATTCTCTATCAGCAGGCTTTAAAAAAGGAGTGGAAGAGGAAGGGAGGGGAACTTCAGGCATCCCAGGACTGAATGCTATGTAACAACAGCTCCAGAGAAGCTTGGACTGAGTTTTTCACCATTTGTAGGCAATCACTGCCTACATGGAAAATATTGGTCTGGGATTTTCTGTTTGCACTTTAAAGTTCGAGTTGGGAGGAGATGGTCCCAGGAGGAGGAATGCCCACGTGTTGGCCTGAGCTGGCAGGGTGTAGCTCACTGCCCAGCCAGCCTCATTAGTTTAACCAGTTTTGTTAACCAGTCTCTCATTAGCAAGGAGGTGGGTGGGACATAGGAGTCCTACGGGTGGAGATGCCAGTGGACCTAAACCAATAAGGATTCTTCCGGAAGCCCTGAGCAAAAGCCTCCAACAAACCGTGCCCACTGCCAAGGGCCAGTGCTGGGCTTACTGTGTGGTTTTGGGAACCTCAGTCCAGAGCAGGCAGTTGGCCCTGAAACTTAAAGCTGGGATGTGTGAATGAGGATCACCTCCCCACAGTCAGTGAGGAGAGGTTGGTGATGTCCACGCTGACTTGGCTGGGTTTTGCTGTCCATCATGGATGGACAAGAAGGACACCCTCTCCTTTCCAGTTAGCAATCAGTTTCTCAGTGAAGTCTTGCTTCTTCTCTGTAGTTCCCTTCCTGCTGCCACAGTAATAATTCCATGGGATGTACAAGCAAGGTAACACAACAGCAGCACGAGCACTGGCTTTCAGCTCCCAAGGAAGACCTCTCCATTCGACAGTGATGACTTCCCAGGACCCAGTCTCCTTACAAGCTCTACTACACTACTGGGAGTAGATGGGATACTGAACCCATCAGAGGAGATTTCCCTGATATGGATTGCTGAAATACTTTTTAAGGAGGCTTGGATAGAGAATGACAGAACAGTCATACTCCTTGGAGGCAGCTTCAGATAGGTCCTTCCAGTCTGCCTTTCCAGAATCATTTCCTGCTTGTGCTTAATCTTCACTGCAAGCCTTTTGTTCTCCTAAGCTCCCTCCTCTCCAATAAATGCAAGTTCCCCAGAGCAAGGCTGGCCCAGCCAGTGCTGAAGGCTGTGCGTGCTGTTGCTAGGGGAAGAGAGATGACAGTTGGGTGCTTCTAGTTAATGGGCTTAACTGCTTATTAATTATTAGATGTGGGGATAAGCCAGGCCAGGGTTTTTAAGATACTCAGCTCTGTTAATCAACTATTTCTAGCAGCAGGCAGTGGCCTGGAGAGCCACAACCTTGAGGGACATCCCCTCCAGACCTCGTGTGATCCAAGTATGCAGCTTGCAGCCCAACCCACAGTGTTCCTTGGGCAGGCAGACCCTTTCAAAGTCCACAGTCTTAAGAAGTCCATTCCTGGATTTTGTTAACACAACTTTGTCTCAGAGCTGATCTTGCCCAGAAGGCAACTGAATATTCTTCATACATCAACTCTCCTTAGGAGAGGGTAGGAGACCCAAGTGTTTGTAACTGCACCAGACCAGGAGAAAAATCATGATCCAGGAGCGACTGTGGCAGGTCCTAGACCCCTTGTGGGCTGACCCTCACGTTCTCTCAGCCTTGTTTTGTGGTTCAGCTTCAGCCATTGTGCTGCTGAAATGGCTGGGTCGCAGGAGAATCCAGCAGAAGATGGAAGAAGCAAGAAGAACACGGGATCTGGCTCTGGAGAGAATGGAGAAGGCAGCTCGCAGGTTTAAGCAAGAGGTAATTTGGGGAAAAGCATGTGTGGAAGGATGGGATTGTATTTTGGGTAACTGAAGAAACACAATTTCTGATAGATTGTGGGGGCAAAGGCAGGAATATGCATACTTTGGATCATTACCAGCTTTTTTTAAGGGTCATCACCTCTATTGTTACCAAAAATCTCAAGCTGAGAAGGCAGCCTAAAGGAGATATTTTGTAATACAGATTATGTTGTGGGAATCCTGAGCGTGAGTGATGGATTGGAGTCTGAACCATATCACTGCTCATCTGTTCATCCTGCTAAGACTTTCTGCTCCTATCCTCCTCACCTCTGCCATCCCAACATCTCACATAATCGTAGAGTCATTAAGATTGGGAAGATCAATATGAATATCTTGTCCAACCATCAACCCACATCTGTGATCACTCTAGACCTTGTTACTCACTGAACATCTTGAAAATCTCCGGGGGGAAGGAGGGTTGACTCCACCACCTCCCTGGGCAGCCTGAGGCAATAACTTCCAATATCCACCACACTGTCCTCAATGTACAGGTCCCTCTAACATCTGCGCCTCAGTGACTGAAAGCCATTTCTTCCTCCATACCCCTAGATCAAGAAGCACACAGATTTCAGAAGGTTCAGTCTTTGGATTCAGGATTGGTCTTAAACCCAAAATGAACACCAGTTGCTATTCTGTTCTTGGAAAGGAGCAGTGGGAGGCTACAAACAGTCTACACGCTTTTTTTTCTCCAAGTTAATGATACATTTTTGTAAAACTTTAGCTGGTTCAAATGCCATATAACAGATCTTTGTCATGGAAACCAGGCTGAACTGTGACATCTATTCAGGGTCATTGCCAGGCAGATGTTAGAACATGGGATTTGCAACCTCAACACCAGCCTTTCCTGTTGTCTTCCTCTTTCTGCACCAAATTTCTTTCCCTTTGCAGAACCCAGGCACCCAGACTGCACACATCCTCTCACTGACCATGGTGGAGCTGGCGGAGAAGCTGAAGGAGGGGTCCCTGTCCCCAGAAAGCGTTCTCTACTCCTATATAGGCAAAGTGAGTGATGTCTCCAACATAGAGAGATGCTCCAGGGCTCCTCTGGTGCTGCTTGCAACCAGCCTATTTTGTGGGAGAATGGCAATGCATGAGATCACAATTTGTCAGGATGGATGAAGGGTGGCTTGTGGCTGAATCCAGAGATCCAGGGCAGAAAATTATCCCCAAAATAAGTATGTAAAATTCATAGGTAAAGTCTGAATAATGATTGCTGAATGCTGGAGGTTTGAGGAGACTGAATTCTCAGCTTGAAAACACAAAGTGCTGTTTCTTTCCTTCAATCTATTTATTCATCTTGCTACTCTATCCAACCTCTCTGGAAAGGCTCTGGAGGTGAATCAGGAAGTGAACTGTGTAATAGACTTCATTCATGGCTGTGAGGATCAGCTCCAGAAACTGAAGAAACAGAAGGAGAAGGGGCTGCTCTATGGCATTCCTGTCAGCATCAAGGACCACATTGACTGCAAGGTACATCCCTAATTCCCCCTCCCCTTGGCCTGGGGCTGGAAACAGACAAGGATGTCCACGATGTCTCTACCTTTGTATATGGGATCCAGCTTTATCCTTTTTACCTTATCACAGCTAACCAAGGGTGCCCTCAAACAAGGATGCTTTGGACCATACATGTTATTTCTGTAGTTGTTACAGCTCTGAACAGCATCTTTACTGGTACCTAGAGAGCTTTGCTTCCTATCCCCAAGGGTCATGTCTCCACTGGTGGGATGGTGAAGTTTCTGGGCCAAATGAAGGAAGAAGACAGCGTCATCGTCCAGGTTCTGAAGAGCCAGGGGGCAATCCCCTTTGTGAAAACCAACATCCCGCAGACAATGATAAAGTAATTTCGTGTGCATCTTCATGAAAACACTGTGTCATGCAAGTCTTGTGAACTGAGAGTGAGTGGGGCCACATGCACAAGTTCCCACCCTCTTCCAAACAAATCACGCACGCTGAATTAATCTCAAACTACCATTCCTTGGTCTTTCTGTAGAATGCTACAAAGAAAGTATTTATTTTCGATGCCTCTTTCTTCCTATCCTAATCAACATATCTAGTTCACAGTGATTCTACCCCTAGCATTAATTATGCATTGTCTTGTCTTTATGATTTGTGGAGATAGAAGTACTTCATTCACCTGCTGTTCTTCTCCCCAGCTATGACTGCAGCAATCTCATTTTTGGCCAGACGCTGAACCCCCTCAACCATCAGAAGACCCCCGGGGGCTCCTCAGGAGGGGAAGGAGCTCTGATTGCAGGGGGAGGCTCCCTCCTGGGCATTGGCTCGGATGTAGCTGGCAGCATCCGCCTGCCATCCAGCTTCTGTGGGCTATGTGGGCTTAAACCCACAGGCTTCAGGATCAGGTACACCCTAACAACTGTCCCCTTCCAGCTAATGTAGAGGGTGAAAAGTTTTTCCTGCAGTGCACCAAACTACACAATAAATTTCTGTTTATCAGAGATGGGTTATTCTCAGATGAGGAATTGCTTAAGCACCAGGGAAAGGAAATGATAAAAAACATCTCTAGCACCTGGCAACTTAATGCTCCTGGGACTCTTCCTAATCTAGAAGGGTGCCAAGTCTCTGCAGGGCCTTTGGTCCTCCTAGATAGTCACTGGGGCAAATGGGAAGTCTGCAACCCAGCATGGTGACACACCTTAGAGCATGACACCTTAGATATCTAATCTGCTTCTCCCATTCTGCTTCTAGCAAATTGGGTGTGATTTCTCCTATCGCAGGAATGAGCTCAGGTAAGTTCATCCAGATAATATATTACTACTGCCAAACGTTCTCTGCTGTTGGCAGCGTGGCTGCAGTCCTTGTTCCTCTTGAATGGGACTTGTGCCAGCAGAAGGCTGGCCCAGAAGATGGCATCCTGCCTCTGAGACTTAGGGACTGTCCTTGGCAGGCTTCCTTGCTCACTTCTTGCACATTCATTCCCCAGTCCTCTTCCCTGGCCTGAATAAAACCCCTCTCCTCTGGGCCACTACCAGCTACTATAAGGGAGCACCAGGCCCACCTGCCTGAAATAATGGGATCTTTGTGCTTGCAGTGATAGGGATGCTGGGGCCAATAGCAAGGGATGTGGACAGCCTAGCCCTCTGCATGAAGGCGCTGCTCTGTGAGGAGATGTTCCGTCTGGATCCCACCGTGCCCCCCATCCCCTTTGATGAGGAGGTGAGGCTCAGAGGCAGTCCCATGCCTCCATTTGTCTACCACTAAAGAGAGATCTTGAGAGATTCTCATCTGGTTTCATACCTGAAGACAGTGAAGGGGAAGCAGTGCTGCTGATCAGACGGGTCCCAGCACGAGCAACCATGAGAAGAAGCCACAGACAGGGTTGGCAGACGAGGCCTGCTGAATGCTGATCCCTACCATTGCCTTCCCAGCAATGCCTGGAAAAGACTTGTTGGCTTCCTAAAGGAATTCATTTTTCCTGATCAGAGAAATTCACCCCTCACATCTTTAAAAAGAGCCTTATTGAGAAGCCATGAACCTAAGAAATCTTTACGCTTTGCAATTATCTCTCTGGTTCTGCCCATTTGCTGCTTTCTGGCTCAGGTCTTAGCATCTTTCAATTGTCCCTGCTATACAGACAATTATTCCTGACATATGGCTCTTTCCACTAGCCCAAATGCCCTGTCTTTCTTCCAGCCCTGTCTGCCTTCCTAGGAACGGTCTGATCTGGTACATGTGTCCAAGCAGTGGCTCTTCTCACAGGTTTACACCAGTTCAAAGCCACTTCGGATTGGATATTATGAAGAAGATGGCTACTTCCAACCCTCACCCAGTATGAAACGGGCCGTCCAACAGACCAGAAAGCTCCTCCAAGAAGCAGGGCATACAGTAAGTTTTCACACCTGTGGTTACTAGGAGCTATCATCCTGCTCCTTACAGAGTCTGGACAAGTCATTTCACATCTCTCTTTTATAAAGAATGCCATGGGACAGTGTTTTTTCCATCATGTTTTGCATCTCCATAAGCATCAATCTTGCAGCAGCTTCCACGATCCTGCATCTGCTGAATCCAGTTTACAGATTTTTGGGTGGAGTACAGGTTTGGAGCAGTTGAGCTCCCAGGAATCACTTCTAGCCTAAACTACACTGTGGTTCTGCCAGTAGTATTGTCTATATAGAGTGTTGTTCTAATGACAAGTATAAATTAAGAATATTTGGTGTTTTGAATACTTGGCCTCTAAATATACTTTTCTAAGGAGCAAAGAAGAAAAGCCTATGTAAAGTCATGTAATTGTGTGCTAATGCCTTGGAAACAGGAAAGGACAGAGGGCAGATGGCAGCAGCCCAGGTCTCTTTGAATATGGAGGGAGGTCTACACAGGGCTTTGTAATCCATTTGTCTTTCTTGCCTCTTGAACAATGAATGGTTTTCCGGCAGATTGTTCCCTTTGCACCACCTAAGATTGACTACATGGTAGATGAACTGTTTACCAGAGGGATTTTCTCAGATGGTGCTGCTCACATGGTGGACGCTTTGTGAGTAAAACTCATTGCTTTCAGTGCAAACCCTGAGACTTGACACGGTGTGACCAATGGATGCATCCAAGGTGCTTTTGTTCCTGTGGATGCATGCTTTTATGAACATGATGGTAGGGGGATTGTTGGACTGGATGATCTTAGAGGTCTTTTCCAACCTTACTGATTCTATGATTCTAAAGAGAGAGCAGCAGAGGAGTGATTTCTGGAAGGGAGAATTCATCATGGACAGCAACTATCTCACTACAGTAGGTCACATGCGTGGGTAACCCCGTAGGGTAACAGCATGCCCTGTGTCAGCAGTGCTGTGGCAAATGTTTTTATGCTTGTGATTAGTCTGTGGCACATGGGGAACAGCACAAGCTGTGTAACTTCCCACAGAAGTGCAGAGGGTGAGCTCTGCTGAGCAGCCCGATGCCCACCTTGCCAATTGCTCACTGCCTTCCCTTATAATAGGGAAAATAGGATAGGAAAATAGGGAGAAGGCTTATGGGTCAAGATAAAGACAGATTGCTTGCTGATTGCTATCATGGGTAAAGCAGACTCAGCTTGGGGCAGTCAAGCTGAAACCAGCTCTGGATTTGACTCTGGGGTATGGTTGGCCACCTCCAAATAGGGTTGTGCCCTCTGGCACAAGTTTCTTGTTCTGAGTACCTTTGCTCTCTGTCCTTCTAGCAAAGGAGATATCGTGGATCCTAATCTGAAGTCCCAGTTCAATACTTACAGGCTTCCTGCTTTGGTGAAGAGGATCCTGGCTATCATTTTGAAGCCTATTGTAAGTATGTGGAGACGTCTCATCTGTGTTCTAGGAAGTTGGGAAGATGGGGAACTTGACACATGATGGGCTGCACCACTCAATGCTTTGCTGCCTTGTGTCAAGAGTCTGGAGGTTTTTAAAACGCCATATTCTTAAGTAAACTTGGTCTCTATGCAAGGATCTAAACATCATCTCCACATCCAGGAGATTTTCTCCAGGGCTAGCAGTGCTGTCTAGAGCCTTATTCCTAGGAGTTGTTGTAATTGAATTAAAGAAGGGCAACAAAGGGTCTGAAGGGCCTGGAATAAAAGTCTGATGGAAGTGGCTGAGGGAACTGGAATTGTTCAGTCTGAAAAAGAGGAGGCTCAGGCAAGAACCTATTGCTCTCTACAATCCCCTGGAAGCAGGTTGTAGTGAGGTGGTCAGCCTCTTCTCCCAGGTAACAGAGATAGGATGAGAGGTGATGGCTTTCAAGTGGCTTTCAAGAAAAGGGTAGGTGTTGCACTCAGTGACATGGCTTAGAGAGTGTGGTGGTGATGGGCTGACAGTAGGACTGGGTGATGTTAGTGGTCTTTTCCAACTTTAATGATTCTGTAATTCTATGAATGTGTAAGTTATTGTTGGATTACAGCCATCTCATTGGAAACTGTACCTGATCTTCAGAGCCACTTCTACTAGGACAAGAAGCATGCCCAAAATAAAGTCCCATCTATTTCATCTGCATTGTTGACTAATCCCAAGTTTTTCTTCTTCCCTACCAAAGTACCCACGAATTGCTCGGGATCTCAGTGCTCTCTGTGGAGTGGGGTAAGTGGCACTGAAGTAGAGGAAGGGATTCACGTGGATGTATCCACTGGGTTCATGCAAGTAGATGCCAGCTTGCTGTGCAAAATTACTATGGCTCAGCATGGTGTTGTCTAGGGTGAGGCATCAGAAATTAAGGGTCCAAAGTTCCTCATTGTGGCAGGGCTAGGATATCTCAGCTCACACAGATAAATGCAGCTTTCCTCATGGTTAGGTGGATTCTGGTACTCAGAAGGCAATGTGCCAAGGCAGTACAGATACCTGCATATGGATGCAGTATGATGTGAAGTGCAGACCCCTCTGAGAGACAAAAACTGAGAGCAGTTGAATTTAAAAGACTGCCATGATTTTTGTCTAGGTCAGAATAAATGATATCATGGCAGTAGGCTCTTTTGATGTATGCACAAGTACACGTGGACCCTGTGGAACCATCTAGGCAATGCTATGACTTGTTCCCGGGGTGGTCATGTAGTTCCCATAACAATGGGCTATTTGTACTTGTATTATTATTATTGTTTTCTGTTGCCACAGTCCCAATTCCAATCAATCTTTTCACCATTCCAGGTCTGCCAAAAACCTCTGGGATCAGCATATAGCTGTGGCGGTAGGATGATTTATCTTCCTTCGTAAATACAGTGAGGGATTCCTATCATTGGTTTCACCTCTGTGATGGATCTGGTGTTGGGTCATCTCAAATAAAGCAGCTGGGCTTTTCAAGCAATGCTAATGTAGAGGTCTCTACTTGCTTACTCTCCCCAGCCCAAATTAGGACAGAGTAAAAATCTGCAGTTGTGAACTCTTTGGCTCAGATGTACTTTGTATGAACTCATTTTGGTTCAGCAATGTGGGACAGGAAGTGTTATCATGGACAGCTGAGCCCATCGCTGCTCACAAACCAATCAAGTTCCTTTTCAAAACAACCTGGGTTTTGCATTTGCACTTATTTTTATTGGCCATCTCCTCTCCTCTCTGATCTGATGATTGGAAGCCTTCTTATTTCTTCTGCTGCTTGTTCACTTGCAGTTCGTACTCATTTTATTCCATCCCTGAGTTTAAATAACACCTCTCCTCTCTGGTATTTTCCACTCGATCCCAGTCTATTTACAGACAGCAGTTGTATCCCCTTTTAGCTGGTGTTTTGCAAGGCTGAAGGAGTTGAGCTATTTTAGCATCTCCTCACAAGGATCTGTGTTGCTTAGGACACCCTTACAACCATCCCTGAGAGCAAACATGCCTCCAGCTTCCACCATGCAGCCTCCGTCAGTGTCAGTCATGAGATATAAATGCATGCTCACAGCAGCAGGTCTGATTGACTGAAAGCAGATCATTCTTCTCCTACTCCCACCCCACTCCCTGCCAAAAAAAATAAAAAATAAAAAAAAAGAAAAAGAAAAAGAAAATCCTCTAAAAAGATTTGGTAACCTCAAAGGTATTTTGGATTTTTTTTTTTCTTCAGCAAAGCATTATTCATGGTTTTCATTTATTACAAACAAGAATTGACCCAAAACTTTTGGCCAGCTACCAGCTTTCCTCTCAGGAAAGCACAAAACTACTTGCACTGCATTTTCTGGAAACCCTCTCTTTCGTCAAACTTTCAGCAGAATGATCTCAGGCTGCGTATGAAATTTGAGAACAGATAAAAAATAGAATCATGGAATCACTGAGGTTGGAAAAGACCTCTAAGGTCATGTAGTCCAATCTCAACCTGTCCCCAGCTTCCCATGTCCCTCGGTAGTACTGAGGCTGCTCAAGTAGCCCTATGGTCCATCCGTATTGATTTACTAAGAGACAGTGGAGCAGCAATTTGAGAATGGATTCATTCATTGCCTGATGTTCAGTAGACTCTAGATTCTTCTACCAAACTAACAAAGCTTTTAGGAAATGGACTTTTATTTGAATTACTGTTGATCTCCACTCAATCAAATGCAAAGACAAAACCGTGTGTAAGGACTGGGTAAACATGCACAGCAAGCTGTCAACTCTGAAATGCCCACCTGACATCAGTGCCTATGTCTGGGCAGGATAGACCTGGGAGAGGAAAAATGAAGCCTGCTGGCTCTCTCAAAGTACAGCTCAGATTTTATTCCACCTTTCTCTTTTATCTAAGCATGCTTTTTTTCCCCTTTTCCATGCTGTAGACATTGATCTGCCACTGCTGTCCAACAGGCATTGGTTGTCATCCACTCTGTCTTTCCCTCTAGGTTTACCGCACTGAATTCATTGCTAAATGGAGGAAGCAAAAACTGGATGTGATTCTTTGTCCTGTACTTGGTCCAGCCTTTAACCATGGCTATGCTGGGAAGCTATTTGGTAATCTCCATTGAGACATCTCACGGATGCATCTATGTTATTGTTTGTGGGCAGAGCAGCAGCAAGATGTTTAGGTCTCTTGTACATTCCTCAGACTGTGTGTAGTGTCTGCTCTTCCCTCTGAGGAAGTTAGCACAGGGAATTCTCCACTCTGTGTCTCCTCATGTTCCCACTTCATCTGAGCTGCAGATGTTTGGATTATTATGGGCAGCATTTAGTGACACATCAGTCCCAGTAGTTACTTGGTGAGCTTCCTCCTTATCATCTGACCTTCTGAAAGTGCACGTGAAGAGAGCTGCTAGGGTGCTGGCAGTTCTTATCTCAAGATAAGTTCTTTTGAAAGCGGCCATCTTATGTTCCCCGTAAGGAGCTTTGCAAGGAGCAGACATGAAAATCTGCCTTGCAGAAAGAGGAGATTTGATAGCTTCCAGGAAACATCCAGAGTCCTCCATCCCTCTAACTGCAGCTCTCTGCCCTAGAAATGCCCTAGATGGTGTTACAGACCTGGATACCAGGATTTTACCCTGAAGTGTGAAAGACAAGTTCAGACTTTGTCTGCCTCAGGTCAAATATTCATATCTATCTCTCTCAGAGCAGAGCTAATATCCACCATGCAGCCTTCAAACCTCCCCACCAGGAGTCCCATGGTCTTTTTAGATCCAGCAACTCCAGTCCAAAATTCCTTCAAACTGAATTATCATCTGAAAGTCTTCACTGGCCCAGCACACTTAAATTTTACATGTTCTGTGTGATCTTTTCCAGCTGCAACCTCCTATACCAACTTGTACAATGTCTTAAACTTCCCTGCTGGAGTGGTGCCAGTCAGCACAGTCACAAGAGCTGATGAAGAAGAACTGAAGCATTACCGAGGGCACTACGAGGATCCTTGGGATAAGAGACTGAAAGAGGTGAGCAGAGGAAGTCTTAGCAGAAGGCCATGACAGTATGCACCCCTGGCATATTGTCTTTTCTCCATCATACGATGACATCTGTCTCCTTGTATATCTTTCACTTCCTGTACTGTCAAGAGATGGCATTACACACCCTGTGCTCTGACTCAACACCACGCTTAATTTTTGCAGGCTGTGGAAGGAGCCGTGGGACTGCCTGTGGCTGTGCAATGTGTGGCTTTGCCATGGCAGGAGGAGCTGTGCCTTCGGTTCATGAAGGAGGTGGAGAACCTTTCCCGTGGCATGAGGAGAAATGCATGATTTCTCAGGATCTGCTTTGCTTATGTTGACCTTTAATACCCTGCTCGTCACTCCATCACCTTTTACTCAGTGTGCAACACAGATAGCAATCTGCAGACTCCAAATTCTATTTCAGTAAAATGGCAATAAATGGCTGCTTGAAAGCAGTTGGAAAAATCTATTCCCTATCCAAACTTCCTCTTTCATTAAAGTGAGATAAAACCTGGTCTAGTGCTTGATCCAGTGCCTGGCAACCGTGCCCATAGCAGGGAGTTGGAACTGGATGATCTTTGAAGTCCCTTCCAACCCAAGCCACTCTTTGGTTCTATGAGAAAACTAAAAGAAAGGCAAGAGAGTTAATTTGGAGCAAAGGAGTCTGAAAACCATAGCGAGACAATATTTGGTGTATAATATAAGGCTGAAGAGCTGATTACCTCTATATTTTATTTCCAACAGTGGCAGTGGCAGATGTTTAAGGGAGAGTATAACCTGGCAGGATTCTCTCTTTGGCTGTGCCATTAGTTGACAAAAGGTTGCAGTTAGCCCATCAGTAACTGGTCATCAATAATTTAACAACTAGTTCAGCCTCTTCTTGGTCTCTGTTGTTCTTTTGGTCTCCACACCATACAATGGCAGCGAGCTCTACAGTTTAATTGGGCAGCAAGTAGTGGAAAGCTTTGTTATCACTGTTTGAGCACATGCTGTCTGAATAGTAAATAATCTGCCTTCAGTCCTGTTCCCCACTGTTTTTTCCAGTTAAGCAATAGGAAAAGAAGGTTGCTATTTTGTCTTTTCATTGCCTATAATCACTAAAGGGAAATCTGAGTTCAAACATTTCTGTGGCTCAGTTTTGGTACTTCCAGCTTCACTGTGAAAATTGTATGCTGTCCTTGACCTAGCCATTGCACTCCAGGTTTCCTGTTCCACTTATGTCCAGCACAACATCCTGGCTGTAGGCTTTGCTTTGATTATTCAGGAGAATTTTAATAAAGACTTGTATCTGCTTAGTTTTCCTCACTTTGCAGGGTAAACTTTGTCTTGTTGCAATATTGGGAGCACATAAAGCTCCCCAGAAGAACTGGTATCAGCAGGACATACATACATTGTTAGGACAGGTCACTGTTCTCTTACAATATCTGACATAGATAGGACTGCCTGGTGTAACAGAATGTGACAGAAGATATTAGAGACGTGATGACCAGTGCTCAAGTGAGGAAGTAACTAAAAGCAAGTACCCAGAAATGGGTGAAACTAACAACAATTAGGACTAATCCACCTTTCACTCTGAAACAGCTGTTTCAATTCTCCAAGCATGGTTCCAATCTGCTCTTCCCCACCCCTATTACTGTTCTTCTCCTCCTCATTCAGCTCATCTGGCTTCCTCCTCTTGTCTGCATGCCCAGAATGAGACACTAAAAAGAAAACTTCTTGCAGTAAACGTTGTGCCCAGCCACGGAGCAGCTGGGAACAACTTCATCATTCTCCATCACGCTGCTGAAGTGTCTGTGATCACTTGTTCAGTAGGACCAGACCTGTGCATGATGGCATGATGGAGGATGTAGGAATGCTGTGGATTGAAGAAATAACAAATCTCTGCATCTGGCTGACAGCGGCTGTATAGCTGGAGGAGTTGTGAGTAGGATCCATACCACCCATTTACAGTAATGGGAGGTTTCTGACAGGATGTTTCATGTTGGTTAGTGCTGTTCTGCAACTGCTAATGGATTTTGACTGGAATTAAGGCATGTGTTTTGATGAAAATCTTATGATTCCAATAGATATTCCAGGCTGAAATGAGTCACTAACTGGAGAGTTCCCAGAAAATATTTATTCAGCCCTCTTGAGTCAAACGGAACAATTCTAGAGGAGACCAGCCCATGTCACTATGACTTCAGCAGCTTCTGAAATACCTTTAAAGTTGTTTCAGGGCAACATAGTCAACATATTTTGTTTTGGAAAAGTACAGCAGAATGTATGGATACAAAAATCTTGAATATGGGATACAGTCCTCAGGGTTAATTCTTCGTCTTTTTGATCAAAATGGATTCTAAGCTGATCTGACTTAAAACAAGAAGAAAAAAATTACCAGATTGGAGGGAGGATTGTTTATGTAAAGGCTCTAATGGAAACCAGCCTGCTTGAGAGCTGCAGGTGTTGGGTGGAGGTTAACGACAGTAAGCTGGTGTTGTCTTGCTTCAAGCAGAGATGATACAGCCTTGCTGGCAACAGGAGCAGACTGCCTGGGTTGGTCTGCTGCCTTATTCTGTGTGAGGCACTGTGCAGGAGGTCTGCAGAAAGAGGAGAAGCGATAACAGTGCTGTCTGTCTCAGGGGTCAGATGAGTACCAAAGGATAGGAATTCTTCCATTTCTTTTTTGGCTCTGTCCCATGACCCACTTGAGTGTACTTCCTCTTATTCTCCCTGCATTGCTCAACATTTGAAAGCCCCACATGCAGCCAGGTAAGCATTTTTATTTCTATCCCCAGCACCAGGATAACAGCAAAAAGAGGAAACCACTGAATGGACAGCAAAGAAAGTCAATTGGGTGATTGTTTTAAAACTTGTCTCTTCTATGTCACCAACACCAAGCATGATAGGCAGTGTATCATTTATAAAATAATTATAGATCTATCTGGAGTCTTTGTGCTGGGACTGGATCAGCTTTGCCTGTTATAAGCTGATGAACCTGGAACTGTACTTTGAATTAGGAGAATGTCCAAAAATGAGGCAGGTAGATGCCCTTGAAGGGTCAGTATCTATGATTAGACATAATGGCGTCTCAGCAGTGGTCCTGAAGCTCCTGTTAAAGCTTAGGGGAGATGCTTAGCAGTAAGTGAAGCACAAACCTGTAGTATTACCTGGCAACCCATGGAAGCAGTCACAACTATTTTGATGTTGTGACCTGGGTTGAGTGCAGTGATAACATCATTGCAAAAGTGCTGCACTTGGCCTTGACTGTTTATCTTCATGAATAAACCTTGAATTTTGTGTTAGGCAGGCTGACTCTTTTGCTAGGGACTTGAGATTTGATCTCATTTTCCCCACAGGGCCAGAGGTCTTTCTCATCAGGTTTCCAAGCAACACTTGATCCCCTTTGCCTTTGGATCCACATACAGCTCAGCCTATCTGCCTCTATGTAACTGCTCCTCTCCTTGTTAGGGACTCTCATATGGTTTTTGGAGTGCCTCAGCAGCCCAAAGGTCTACTCAAATGGTGTAAACAAGTTTGGATTTTGAAACCATCCCATTCCTCCGTATGGATTCAACCCTCATTCCCCTCTGGTTGCTTTTTGCTGCCTATGTTCCCACTGCAGGTTGTGGTGGAAGAGCTATGCCTCCAGTTTACGAGGGAGGTGAAAACGTTTGTCCATTGATAGGAAAAGGGCTTCCTCAGCAGCATCCGGCCATCTGGAAGTGCAGCTGTTCTCACTAATAAAACTGCCCTTTGAAACGCCGAGTTGGTTTGGACACAGCTGGCTTTGTCTCTGTTAAACATTTGCAGTGTCTAAAGGGCAGGATCAGAGCACGGGACCCAGAGCATGAGCGGATGTGAGAACCCAATGCCCTGATGCCTCTCAGCAAGAGGAATAAACTCCCACATCCTCTCAGCCCAGTGCAGGAGTTGTATCACTGCCACGTGCAAAGAGCACACCTCTTCCTTAGGAAGCCTTTGCACAAGTCCCAAGAGGTTGGGAGAGGGCTTGGGTATTCACAGACTCATAGAGGATAGAATCCAATCATTAAGGTTGGAAAAGACCGCTAGGACCATCCAATCCAACCATCAACCCATCACCACCATGCCCACTAAGCAAAGGTGCCACTAAACAGGAGCACAGTAGATAACCAGCTTAGTTTGCTACAGCTTGGTTAATTGCTGTCCATTCCACCCTGCTTTTTTGGAGGATGCCAAAGTTGATGTTTTCCATAGGGGCTGATGTTTGCAAAGTTCTTGCCTTCATCTCAGATCATGGAGATGCTCTTGTGGCCTTGTAGCAAGAGGTATTTGTGCTACTCTCAGCCACTGGCTGTCTCAATGTCTGTTGGGAATATTTTGCTTCTGGGCTGCAACCATGTGGAACTCACCACAATATTTGTGTGCTCGTTCATGACATGGACCCACTTGTTCTGGTGCACGCAGGCATTGTGGCAGTGCTGAGCCCTGTCTCACAGGATGAGAGCACCAGTGGAAGCTCAGGTTGGATATTAGGGAAAATTTCTTTTCTAAAAGTGTGGTGATGCTTTGGCACAGCTACCCAGGGAGGTGGTGGAGTCTCCATCCCTGGAAGTGTTCAAGAACTGTGGGGATGCGGTACCAAGGGACGTGGGCAGTGGGCATGGTGGGGTGGGGTTGGACTGGGTGATCTTATTGCTTTTTTTTCCAACCTCAGTGATTCTGTGATTCTTTGATAGGGCTCTTGAAGCAGCCTTAGACAGCTATGGGAGTAGGATGAGTTTAAAGAGCTTGGAGGATGAGTAAGTACCCCACAAACATGCATCCTCTCATCATACCATCCTCATCTCTGTGCAGGGAAATCTTGCGCTTTCGAACTTTTTTTTTTCCCCCCTCCTTTCATTGTCTTCCTAGACTATGCAGGAAACAGGAGCCAAGCTATTTCCTTGCTTCTTTTGTTCAGCAGATCCCACAGCTCTTCCTCCCCAGCAGAGAACTTCCTGCAGCGCAGACAGCCTGCATAAACCCGATACAGCCAGGGTTCACTAGCTCTGCATGCATAACCTGTTGCACTTTTCGGTCAATCATTCTCCACTTCATGCCCCAGTGAAGGCACCTCTGCAGAGGTCAGCTTTGGGTTTATAAGCTATTTGCTGAGCCACACCAGTGGTTCTGGGAGGAGGAACTGATCTGGGGAGACAGGGAAGCTTCTCATTCTCAACCCATCCTCAAAGACCAGAGAATCGCACAAAGTGATGAGGCAGCTCCTGCCAGAGACAGAGCTGGCTCCTGCTGCTGCCCTTGCCCTTCTCTGTGGTTCTGCAGCAGCTGTAGTGGTCTGGAAATGGCTGGGCAAAAGACACATCCAGAAGAAGATGGAAGAGGCTCGGAGGATGCAGGATGAAGCTGTGAAGAAAATGGCAAAAGCTGTCCAACAGTTCAGGGAGCAGGTAACCCATCCTCGTGAGGAGCTAAGACTCACTGGGGTGTCCGCTCATGTTCTTCAGCTCCTCCTCCTACCTCACCTCTCCATAGCTTTTATAACAAGGATCCCAGGGGAGATGTGCTGGCAGCCTTCAGCAAGGGCTGCCCTGGGAGGAAGGGAGCTCACATCTTCTGAAGCTGGATGAGCTGGAGGAGATGTGGTGAAAGCTTACAGCCAGAGAGATGCGAATTACACTTGGAAGAGGCTTGGGACAAAGGTGACAAAGACTCTGAAGATCTAGAGGATTTGAACCAATGAAGGTCATTATCAATGAAGGTGATCAGCACTTGGTCCAAACCCTGTAGATCCTTACGGGTGTGAAAATATCTCTTGCCTATATGGTAGAAGCAAAAACTCTTCTTGAGTCTAAGGTAACACATCTGTCCACACGCCTATATCCTTGGCTGTAAAACCTGGGTTCTTAGTAGCTCTTGGAGAGTCTTCAAAAGAAATTTTACCAGAGTTTCCAGCAAATAAGGCCTCTCAGGCTGCCCAGAAAATTTGACCCTATTTTACTAGTGAAACACAGGGCACTCAGTGTCATCTGTGAGCAACCAGGAGGTGACAAGTGTGTGAATGAGCCAGGCACCCACTCAGCCAGCGTGAATGCAGCCCTGAATTCTGCAGTACTCATTTCTAACCCCCTTCATTCCTGCCCTATTTCCTTCTCCACGTGTTCCAGCTCAATTAACATTTACAGCAGTAATATAATAATAATCTGGAGATAAAGCATAGCAGCTACAAGTATGTATTTCTAAATCATCCTTCTTCATCTTTCTGTCGCAGGTCCCCAGTGACAAGACAGATGCCATCCTGTCCCTGCCCCTGCTGGAACTCGCTGGAAGGTTGCAGGAAGGGTCTCTGTCCCCCAGGACTGTCCTTTATACTTACGTACAGAAGGTGAGTGCCTATTTGCATCCTGAAGGGCAAATTGCTTGTGTTATCCGTGCTGTGATGTGTGGAATGGTGACTTGCTGATTATGGCATGTCTTTAATATAGCAGATACCAGAAGAAAGATGCAGAAGGACAGGGATATCTCTGTACCCATCACCAAATAACCCTTTCAGATGGTTTGAGCCCTTTCAGATGTTCTGGGGAGGGGGTTACCATTCAAATCAAGCTTCTCACTTTGTAGATCCAGATAGCTACTGGATGCAGCCATGTCATTTCATTGCTCTTACCTAACACCTCTTCCTCCATCTGTCTGGAAAAGGCCCTGGAAGTGACCCAGCAGACAAACTGCGTGCAGTATTTCATCCCAGAGTGTGAAGAGCAGCTCCAGGAAATACAACAGCAGAGGAAGAAAGGACTTCTCTATGGCATTCCTGTCAGCATCAAGGATCACATTGGCCACAAGGTGCTTCCCTTAGTGCCCATGAAACATCCCATCCTAAGCTGGGCTGGGTGGTGAAGTGAATGAACATAGGAACCTGGCTAGGCTTGGGGCTGTGACTCCATATCTCATCGCTTCTGCAAACCACAGAGTTAGGAGCTGCTGATGAGTCGTGATGATTTCTTAGATGATCAGCTCCATGCTGATTTACCAACACAGTTAAGAGGACGCTGAGCCCAAAATAAGACCCAGACACCAAGGCTAACAGAAAAAGGACCATGCTGTCATTGCCAAGGGCTTGTATTCCCTCCCTGAACATTCAGCAGATGCTTCACCTGGACAGCAGGATTCTGGGTTTGATCCTGAGCAAGCGTACAAAGAATGCCTGCAATGTTGCACCTATGTCAGGGGAGAGAAATAGCATGAAAAAGAGCAAGGGTGGGTTCAGGACAAGCCTTAACCCTGTGTTTGGCAGCATTGTGCTTATGATAGGAGTGGGAATCCTTGGCCCTTCATGCAAGGGAGTGGATTAGTACACCCCAAAGGGAACACCAGATCTTACTCAGAGACAGGTGAGGCCCTGGGACAGCTGCCCAAATGAGCTGTGGGTCATCTCTGTAGGTGCTCAAGGCCAGGCTGGATGGGGCCCTGGGCAGCCTGATTTACTGGGCACAACCAGCCCATGGCAGGGGCTGGGAACTGGATAGGCTTTAAGGTCCCTTCCAACCCAACCGTGTTATTGTTCTATGATTATGATATTCCTTCCAAAACAGCAGGGAAACTGCACTGACACTGTCCACTGTCACCTCTCCTTTCTGCAGGGGCATCTTTCAACCTGTGGGCTTGTGAAGTTCCTCGGCACTCCAGAGCAGGAGGACAGTGTCCTTGTCAAGGTTCTGAAGAGACAAGGCGCCATCCCATTCGCTAAGACCAATGTGCCACAATCCCTCTTCAAGTAACATACATCATTAGAAATGTCTCTTTTCCTGAACCTAAAACCCAGCCTGTAGCTCATGGGTTTTAGGGACAGACTTCTTCCTGTCTCCTGAGATGTTCCCAGACAAATCTGACTTCCATTTGTTGCCAACAATCTCAGTTCAACTGAAAATGGCTTTTCAGTAAGATTAAGGGGGAAAAATCCCACCATGGCATAACAGAAATCAAGCGCACTTGTGCATGGGAGGTGGCTTAATGGGAACGAGCCATGTGTGAAAGATTTACAGGGTGGAAGGAGGGGTTGGTTATGCCATGTAAGCCCACTGCAAGGAACAGGCAACTAACTCAAGGGGCTTGGCTGTTCCTTACATCCTTCTTGCTGGTTTGCTCCACAGCTATGACTGCAGCAATCTCATTTTTGGCCAGACGCTGAACCCCCTCAACCACCAGAAGACCCCCGGGGGCTCCTCAGGAGGGGAGGGAGCTCTGATTGCAGGGGGAGGCTCCCTCCTGGGCATTGGCTCGGACATTGGTGGTAGCATCCGCCTGCCATCCAGCTTCTGTGGGCTGTGTGGCCTCAAACCCACAGCCAAAAGGCTCAGGTAGGTGCTGGGGTCTGTTCTTCCCACTCTGCTAGGAGACTCTTAGCTCACAGCCACCCTGTGCACCTACCTGCCACGTTCAGGGAGGAGTCAGTAAGCAGACGGATCTGCTGCCTGTTCATGTACGGTGTCTTTGGTGAGAGAATGGGAATTCAAACCTGTCTGAGTTTCAGTCCTTAAATCTCTGGAAGTTCCAAAATTGAACAATTTTTGCTTAAACAAAAGTGGTTTGGGATTTTTTGTTATCATTTTGATCAAGATTTTCTGTTTTACTCAGTTCAAATTTATTCTCTTTCAGGACCTGAAGACTAACAATGTGTTCAGACAGGTTGGGAATATTTTTCTTTTACTTGAAATAACCATATATTTTTTTTCTTTTCCTGCAGTCTGTCTGGAATTAATGGCCCAGTTGATGGGATTGTGTCAGGTATGTGAATTTCAGATTGTTTCTCTCCAGGTGCTGTGAAGAGCAGGGAGAGTGGAATGTGGTAGAAGCTGAGGTTTGCTTCTATCTGCTTTGTAGGACACTGATGTGGGTTCTAGAAGCCCAGGTGCAAATTGCCATGTCTCCCTGGGGTCACCTCAGTGAAGTTATGTCATCTCTGAGATCTTCTGTCATCCTCCAGGCCTGAGGAGGGCTGAGACTGCCAAGATTTGTGTGGGGGCCAATCTAGAACATCCCTTCTCATTGCCCAATGGTTCCTTGCATGATGGCACACCCCTCTGTTTACCACAGACATTTTCTCTCATCCCATGCCAGTTCGGTGTGCACTGGGGCCGATGGCAAGGGATGTGGACAGCCTGGCCCTCTGCATGAAGGCGCTGCTCTGTGAGGAGATGTTCCGTCTGGATCCCACCGTGCCCCCCATCCCCTTCGATGAGGAGGTGAGCCTTGTCCTCAAGGGTTCTGCATGCCTCAAGGACCCAGTTATCTTGACAGTACTGGTGTGGTTTGTGGTTTATCAGACTGAGACACCCCAACATGGGAGGAAGGCAGCACCAGACTGGTGTCTCCTTTGCTCCAGGTGTACTCAAGCTCTGCTCCCCTGCGGATCGGATACTACGACACAGATGGTTACTTCCCATTGCCTCCTTGCATGCAGAGGGCAGTGCATGAAACCAGGGAGGCTCTTCAGGCAGCTGGGCATGAGGTGAGCACCACTATGGGAGCAGAGATGGCTGGGATGGCAAAGGGCTGCCCAGCAGTGTGAGGAGCCCAGGGAGGCTTCTACTCCAGAGGTCTACAACTATAGCCATAATCAGGCCATGGAAATTATTCACGTCCTCAGGCTGCCACATGATCTTATGTTTTCATGCAGCTGGTGCTCTTCTCTCCACTTCACATCCACCATGTCATGACTGAACTGTTTTTGAAGACATTTTTTGCTGATGGAGGCCGTGCTTGGTTGGATGTGTTGTAAGTAGAAGTATTCCCCATGCCCATGAACACAACTCACAGCAAAACCAGCTCTTTTCACACCCCCAAACAGGAGATACTCAACTTCCTGAGAAAGGGCCAACAGCTCCTCTGACATGATCCCCTCCTCTTGTCATTTTTCAGTACAGGAAATATTGTAGATCCAAGCTTAAAACCCCAGGTGAATTTCTGCAGGATCCCAAGGCTTGGGAAGAAGATGCTGGCTCTGATTCTTAAACCTCTGGTGAGTTCCTGGCTTCATTCTCAAAGCTGAGTGGTGTCAGTGAGCCTTGAGGTTCTTGAAAGTGGGATGGTACTGGCATCTCCATACACCTCCAACTAGGAACACTGGGACTTCAGGCCAAGGTACATGCTGTGATATGGGAAGGTCTTTTCCAGGATCCTGCTGGGGTTTATCCAGTGCAAAGGAAAACGAGAACAAGACCAGCTAAGAGATGTGAAAGAATAGTGCAGAGCCCACAGCAAGAGGTTCTCCAAATGCCAGATCTAGTGGTGCCAGGTTTCCTACATGCATTGGGATACTGTGTCAGGGGGAGTCAGATTTGAAGCTCTATCCTAGGTTGGAAGCAAAGCAAAACAAGAGCCACGTGGAGCCTTTTTAAGCACTGTCACATCCCTCCTCAAGGGCTGAGGCAGGACAGCAGTGGACGTTGGCTGGGAGGTGCTGCACCCCACCTCATCTCCCTAACAGCAACTCTTCTCCTTTCCAGTTTCCCCGCATGGCCGACTATTTGAACGCCTTGGGTGGCATGAGGTAAGACAGCATCCTCTGCAGGAGTGTCTGTGGAAATGAACTTTACCTTCTCCTCTGTCTGCAGCGGGGTGGAGGGTGCTGGGTTCACAACAGGTTCTGACCCATTTTCTGCAGGACCTGTCCTGCCCTGGACGCTTCAGATTTCAAGAGCTTGTTTCCCCACTCCTCTGGTGTTACACTGTCCCTAGTGTTACTAAAAGGATGAGGGGACTTGGGTAGGAAGAGAAATCTTCCAAACATTTGTTGTTTAACTGTATGGACAAATGCCAAAGGAAACTTTGGTGAAATTGGGCAAGATACATTACTTTGTGGAATTGCTAAAATCACTGAGGGTTATCAACCTGGAGAATTGCTTGAGCACTTTCTCTTCCTCACCAAAGTGCTTCAAAATGGAGATAAAAAGTTGCTGTGATTTCCACTCACAGGTCAGTGAAGGAAATGTGGGATCATCAGCATCAAATAGAGGTACGTTTTGAGGATTTTTCTCTCCAACATCATGTTATGAGTTGAGTCTTGAGGGCAAATTCCAGGCTTGTGGAGGCGTCAGTATTTAAGAAAGTGGGGTGCTGAGAAGAAGACAGAAAGGCACAAAAGAGAGCTGAGAATGGCATAGCTGGGACTTTTGGGTCAACCCACTTAAGACTTGACTGGCTGCACAGTGGTCAATGCCCATGCTCAGTTGCCCCAGTGCAATAGGGCCAGCTAAGGAGCGACCTTTCAAATTCCTGTCCATATTTTGTCCACGTGCTGTGGAGACAGATGCTTATACACTGGATTTTAGTGTCTGTCTCCCTTTGGGGATATCAGCACTGAGACTGCAAGAGCTGGTTCTACTTCAGGACTGGGTCAGCAGTGGCCTCAATCTGCTGTGGCAGCACTGTGACCCAGCAAGGGTTCCTCCGCCATGCATGCTCCAAAGAAACTGAAACGGTCCCAGCATGTCTCCCCTTTCCTCCCACAGGTGTACCGCTCTGAGTTCATCACCCAATGGAAGGAACTGCAGCTGGATGTCATGCTGTGCCCTGTGCTGGGGCCAGCCTTCACCATAGGGTTCCCTGGGAAACTCCTCTGTAAGTGAGCTTTGGCCTCCCTGGGGGCAGAGAGACTGGCCTTGTAACAGAACTGGGACTTGTGGATGATCGGCGCTAATTAATCTCCTCTCCAAGCAGCAGCTGCTTCTCAGAGCCTTCAAAGAACACAGATATAATTGAAGGAACACGAGCCTGTGGCCACATGTATTGTGTTTTTCTTCTTTCAGCTGCCATCTCCTCTACGATGCTGTACAACGTCCTCGACTTCCCCGCTGGGGTCGTACCTGTCAGCACAGTGACAGAGGCCGATGAGGAAGAGCTGAAGCTCTACAGAGGATGCTGTGATGACCTCTGGGACAGGATGCTGAAGCAGGTATGTGACACAGGAAGTGCTGGATGTTCAGAGTGACGGTGTCACTGAAAACAGCAGCTCCTAAACGTCCCTTCACCACCCGTGTCCCCATTGCAGGCTGTGGAAGGAGCCGTGGGGCTGCCCGTGGCCGTGCAATGTGTGGCATTGCCGTGGCAGGAGGAGCTGTGCCTCCGGTTCATGAAGGAGGTGGAGACCCTCAGCCGAGCAAAGAGAGCAGCGTAGCCCCTCCAGTCCCACCTCAGCAGGGTGGGAAGGGGGACAGCTCTGCGTCACTGCTCCCTTTTGCAATCTGAAGGGCATAGAATTACAGTAAGGAGGGACGGAAGAAAGAAAAGCTATTTCCTGCCCCTCTTCTTGCTGACAATCACAGATCCTGTTAAAGGACACAGCCATTTCCTCAGTAGCCATTACAAGGGCTGTAAGTCTGCCTTCTTATCCTGTCCTGGCTGAGACACTGCAGGACTCAGCTCTAAATAGCCCAGCAGCTGAGGCAGAGACCAAAACATCAGCATAAAAACTGCAGCACTTCATCCCAGTGATGAAGACTTCACAGCACTAAACTTCTTTGTAAAAGGGAATCTTGCCTGCATCAGTCTTCCTTTGAAGAAAAATGATAATACCCAAAGACTCCACCTGGACACTGCAGCTTCACAACACACCTGCCCCCCATTCCTCTGCTTCTCGTTAACCTTTTCCCCTTTTTTTGCACCAGTGGCTGAAAACAACCAGACACTATTGCTGCATTAATAACTATACAGCATTCCCCACCAGCACACTGTGCAGTCACACCAACACTTGTCAGAGATGTGACACAGAGAGCTGAGCTCAAATGATCAACAATCCATGAACTGCACCTTCCCGAAAGGATGGATATGGGTGGGTGGTCACTTTCATTTCCATCTATGCAGCGTCTTGCAAGAAGCAGGGCAAGGATAAGGGAAAACTCAGGAGTGTTTTCTTGCTGGCAGAGGATGCAACTATGTGGCTAACAGCCCTGCATGGAATACATCCGTGTCTATCTATTACACTATTCTGCCCACAAAGATAAAAATATTATAATAAACTTGAGTAACCCTCCACTGATGGATACAATCATACAAGTGCAATTATTACCCAAAATCATACACTTTCCCACTGGCCATTACACAGCACCCAGAACGTGGCAGTTCTCACACCCCTTTCAGCCTCTCTGCCTGTCTGTGGGAGATGGCAACACATCCCTCTATACAGCACTGAGCTCTTTACGCCAGCAGACCTCAAGCATCATGAGTATTTCCAACCCCTGCAGAGGAACATTCTTCAGATCCTCTTCTTTCAGGATCTTACGCTGCTTTTTCTAAAAGCAGACAGGAGAGTAGAGACCTGGTAGAGTAGGAAGCCAGAGATCCATGCCCAGCTAGTATTTATTATCCTGAACATGTTCACATAAGGTGAAAACAATTTAGCCCATCTGAGACATTTAAAAAGAAAAATAAATATCCTTTAAATATGCTCTCCCTGGACATTCAGGGTGTCTCATGATAGCCAGCAATCGGGAAACAACATCAGTTCCAAACGTGATGGCCCAGAAACATATAGTGAGGAAAGCTGAGCTGCCCCAAGCCCAGATCTGCCATCCCTTATGCTCGGCGTAACTTGCAGAAATACATCGGCCCAAAGTTGGCTGTGAGGTGAGGAAGAACGAGCTCCCCTAGTCGGCAACCTGAGAAGAAACAAAATGTGTCCTGGAAGAGCATCCTGAAGTGGCTCAGGTCCTCAACGTGGACAGTGATGTTGAATTGGGTTTGTGCAATGTCTATCGCTCTCTCGACCACATGTTCATTCTGCAGCTGAGACAGGGAGCACGTGGAGTACACCACCTCTCCCTCTGGCTTGGCAGCAAGGATCCCGGCCCTGTGGATAAGATGGAAAAAACATACCATCAGGGGAGGAAGAGGAAAGTATGGGACAACAGCAATAAGGAAGCCAGCAAATAACCCATGTGAGGTGGGGAGAGCTCTTGACTAGGCACATGTAAGTAAGAAGAGGTTTCAGTGCTAATACATACAGCAACAAAACAGCTTCAAGCTCACTCACATCAGCAGCTGCAACTGCAGCATTGGCAACATCTGACGCTCCTTGGTTCTCATTTTGTGGAAGAAGTTGTTCTCCTCCTCCATGACGGAGTGCCTGTCTGTTGTGCAGGGCACATCCACAAGGACCTGCAGCAGCACAGATCCTACATCAGCTCCAGGCCTTGGTCTGTCTCAGAAATCCCCCAGCACCACCTCACCCAATACTTCCACCACACCTGGCAGACAAACTCAGCCCTCTGTACCTTGCCTAGCTTATGCCACCAGATAAAAATGCAACCGAGGATACCCATACTCACAGATCCTGGAGGAAGGGTACAGCCAGAAGAAATATTACTCTGTATCTGGCTTAGTCTTAGCTCTTGTTCAGCATATCAGGCTATGCAAAGCTATACAATTACACTGCTGTCCTCCTCTGAAACAGGAAGAAACTAAACTAGATGTAAGGTGCTGGCATAGGTTGTCCAGAGAGCTGTGGGTGCCCCATCCCTGGAGGTGCCCCAGGCCAGATGGGGCTGGTGGGGGCAACCAGCCCACAGCAGGGACTAGAACTGGAAGGGCTTTAAGGTCCCTTTCAACCCAACCATTCTATGATTCCTTTCACTGATTTCCAACCATTCACCTTATGAAAAGTTCCACCTTGCAGCTCTCCCCAGTCTCTTCCATCATGCGATGTAACGCTCACAGTCTCCCTGATTTCCTTGGGAATGTAGCTATTGAGAATGTGGTACAACCTCCTTGTTCGGGAAAAGGAGACGTCATTGGCTGCCAGATGCCCTGAGGTGAGAGATGGGAAACAGCATGCTGAGAAATTCACTCTGGAAAAAAAAAAACAACACACCAACTCCTATAAGCAGAAAAGATGAACAGAGAGGCATCATCATATACCTCACACTCTCTCCATCTCAGCTTTGCTAACAGAATGGGGCTGAGGAACAACTCCTCCACTTACCACAAGCCCCAGTCTGCAGCAAAGCCAGCGTCTTGCCACCTGGAGCTGCACAGAGGTCCAGGACGAGGTCATTCAGCTGCACATTGAGGGCCAAAACAGGCAGGAGGGATGCTGCATCCATGAGATAGTAGCTGAGGATCCCAAGAGAGTCTGGCCTGGAAACCACCATTTTGCATATAGAAAACAAGGAAAAAAAATATAATTGGAAACTAAGATGAGGATGGCCAAAAGGACCTGGTGCTAACAGCCTGACACTGGTGCAGCAGAAATGCTAAGTCACGACTTGAAGCAGTGATGGAGCACCTGGTGGGAAGGCAAGGCCAACCCAGGGGAGTGACGAGAAGATGTGGAGTCAGGATCCAGCCCTTCCCAGACCTCATTTAAGGGTTGGCAGTGGAGGTGAGGCTATCTCTCTGGAGAGCATCTAAGGGTAAGGAGTTTTTTTTCCTTTGTTTCTGTGTCCATGGCTGCTGCATTTGGGATTGTTCTCATTTGCTGCAGCCTAGGACTGTACCACCCCACTACTATCGCTGAGCTTTCTATCACATTATAGATTACAGCATTACAACTACCAATGTTGGTTTGTAGCAGGAACAGTTACAGAAACACAGACTCATGGAATCATAGCATGGCTAGGTTGGAAGGGACCTTATGGACGGATCAGCCAGCTCCAACCCCTGCCATAGGCTGGGTGGCCCCCCAACAGCTCTGACTGCTTAGGGCCCCATCCAACCCAGCATTGAGCACCTCCAGATACGGGGCAGTCAATAAAGCATTACCAGAAGCCTGACTGTGCCTGCACTATGGTTAAAAGTGGAGTGAAGGAAGCAGGAGAACCATCTCACCACGCAGGATGGAAGCGTGAGATGTCGCCCCTGGGGAAGGTGTAGCACTTGATGTTGGAGCTGACAGAGGCATGAAGCAGCGGTGACGTCTCTGTTGGCACCATCGTCCCATCTCCACCAGACCCCTCCAGGGAAGTTTTCCTCCTCTCTACTTCCACACCCTCACTTCCCTGCCAACACCGCGCCCTTCTGGCAGCTTCAGAAACAAAATCGGTGGCGCTGAGCAGCTCCAGCTGCTGGGCAATCAGGTCGGCAGAGGCGAAGTTGTTGAGCAGGGCTCCGTACTTCTGCTCGCACAGCATTGCAGCTCGCACGGCCGGCCAGCGCTCCTGCAGCTGCAGGCTGTAAGTGGTGTCAAAGTGGTGCAGTGCCAGGCGTGTGGCCGGGATGCGCGGGGAGGTGGTGGCCTTTGGAGAGAGACATCCAAGGGGTGAAGGGGCTGGGAGCCCAAAACCCGGAGCATTTAGGAGGGGAAAGGCAGGAGGGCTCAGGGAGAGGTGTATGGGGTGTAAGCTGGGATAAAAGGGGTGAGGGGTGAAGGAGGGTGCAATGGGAGCCGCGATGGGTGTAACGAGGAGAGGGAAAAGGGTGCAGAAGTAACAGAGCTGGGGGGGTAAAGAGGATGAAATGGGGACAGAAAAAGGAGGTGCGATGGGAGAGGCACAGCGAAGACGGATCGGAGGGAAGAAAACAAGCGCGGAGCTCCCCCCCGTTCTCACCCACTTCTTCTTGTAGAGGTACCGCCGAGGCACCGGGCTCAGCCCCAGCACAGGACCTCTCCGCAGCAACATCGTCGCCCGCCCGCTCCGCGCCGCCATGGCCGCGCTCAGCAGCGCCTTCCGGGGCGGGACCGGAGCTCCCAGCCCTCCCTCGGGTTCGAGGCTGCCGGGGAATGTGGTAAGCAGAGCCGGCCTAATGCGGACCTTACAGCTGTGCGAATAGAGCTGTTTCGAGCTGTTAAGGATTGAGCTTGAGAACCACCAGCAAAAGGATTGCATTGCTGCTACTGCTGCTCTAATAGCAGCCGCATTTAAAAGGTGCCAATTTGCTTGGTCAAAGAGCCGAGGAAGTATTTGCTGCCCAAGGAAACAGCCCTGTAGTATTCCTGTTGTTAAACCTCCTGCTCTGAAGCAGAATGACAGAGCCTGAACTGACAGGTTGCACTTTATGATCCCTAGGGCCACTCCTGTCTCTGGATGTTCTGTGATTTGAGAATTCAATCTCACCACCACAGCCCCAGGGCAGCAGAAAGGGCTGGTGCTTACAGTGGTAATACAGCAGTACTACAGCAGCAGCGCCCCAGAGCACCACTGACTCAGATGGCACCACCACTGTGCCCACCTGCAGCCCCAGGGACAGCTGCTCTGGGCCACAACACACAGGTGACAACAGTCTCCTCCAACCTCTGCTAGCAACAGGGGCAGCTGAAGGCTTTCCCCGAAGGCACGTTAAACAAGAATGGCATCACCTCATAGCTCACAGGAGTGAAGTGTGTTATAGGAATCATAATTGCCTCCCTTCACTTCCTCTGGGTAGCAACATCTCTGGGAAGACCAATTTAGTCTCAACTCACTGAATGAACAGCATAAGTCATAAGTTCAGTGGTGTCTGCTGCTCCAACAGGTGAGTTTTTACCAGTGGGATGGCATCAGCCTCTGCTCATCAAGGGTGCACAGAACGGACATTCCTACAAGGCATAAAAAGTCTCTCCTGGATACAAGCAGGTGGGGTGGGCTCTGAGCCTCACTACTTTCATCATAATTCCATACCAGTACAAATGAGCACTACAAGGACTATGAAATAAGCTGAGAGCATTTCCACAGGAACTTTAAATGTTTAATATGGAAAACTACAGAACATTCACGAGGTTTTTGTGTAGCTGCACATCTTCGATGAGAACAGACACAGTGACATTCTGGTGCTCAGTCACTGCCAAGAAGCCACTTTGTACTTCACATTGGCAATAAACAGGCAGAAGCAGTACTGTGAACCGATGAGGCTCTTCTGATGGACTGTGGAAGCAGATGGACAATCACTCCTGCATTCACTTCAGCTTGCTGAAGAGTTTGTGGGCAACCTGAAAAGAAGACAAAGTGCTCAGTAACTGACAGTTCTCCCAGTACAAAAGGGCTGGGAACCATCACAGCTTTACCACCAGGCTCTTGGCTCTCCAGGTCACTGATGCACATCTGCTCTCCTCATTTTTTTGCAACAAGTTAATTCCAGCAAACTAACTAGATTTCTTATAAAGCTTTCAAGCTTGAAAAGGTAAGTCATAGAGTTAAGGTTGGAAAAGACTCAGAGATCACCCAGTCTAACCTCAACCCATCCCACCATGTCCACTGCCCACATTCCTCAGTGCCACATCTGCACAGTCCTGGAACACCTCCAGGGACAATGATCCCACCACCCCCCTGAGCAGCTGTGCCAGCACATCACAGCTCTTTCTGAGAATAAATTTTTCCAGACACCCAACCTGCACCCCCACTGGCACAGCTTAAGGCCGTTACCTCTTATCCTATCGCAGTTACCTAGGAGAAGATGCTGACCCCAACCTCCTTTCAGGGAGAAAAGCGTAAAGCCCACAGTTCTTAAGAACTCCTGCCACGACTCAACAGCAACCCATTTTTACACCTAGACTGAAAAGCCGAAGGCCTTTCAGCTCCCAGCACCGTTGAGATGTGCCACACGGCAGCGCTGCACTTACGCAGTGGTCCCGAGCATGCAGAAAGTCGAAGAGCTCCTC